TGTGTGACTGTCTCTGTGCTGACATGGTATGCGTTGCGTTGCGTTGCATCACCGACCATCAGGAGCACAAGGTGAGGGAGAAGATGGTGAAGCAGCTCCAGGAGCGATTCGCCGACTGGAACCTCAAGTTCTCGATTGGCGGTGAGATCTCCTTCGACGTCTTCCCCGCCGTACGTTCCTTGTGCCCACCTTTTCTAGGCCACGTCAGCGCATTCACCGCATTCCTCCCCTGCCGCCGCTCTGCTCGAACAGGGCTGGGACAAGACCCACTGCCTCAAGTACCTGCAGGAGTACGACGAGATCTACTTCTACGGCGACAAGACCATGCCCGTACGCGTTGCTTTCTTGGCTTTCGATTTCCACCAACGTTGGTTGGCAAACTCACAACAATGTAATTACATTGTGTGTACGATGTTGTGTACAGGGTGGCAACGACTACGAGATCTTTTCGCACCCCGACGTCGTGGGCCACACCGTCGTTTCGCCCGAGGACACCATGCGCCAGGTCAGGGAGCGCTTCATGCAATAGCTTCATCGTCGGCGACCCATAAAGACATACATCTCCGATGGCAATACATCTCGATTCAATGTTACATGTTTCTGCGCGCGCGTGTGTGTGTGTGAAGGAGCTGATCAGCGCATACGGCTGAGGCATCGGTTGTTGAAGCGCACGAGAAAGGCGCACACGGGCGGCGGCGCAAAGAGAAGGACCGACCACACGCAGCCGTGGCACAGCACCACCGTGCCGCCCACCAGCAGCGCCAGCGTCACCAGAAACGGCAGCGACGTCGCCGTGGCCGAGAGCGCCACCGCCACCAGGCTCTGCACACCCCAGGTGGCTACTAGTGAGAGCTGCCCCCCAGCAGAAAAGATGTAGTTGAGGGTTTGGTGGACCGTACGGCGCACACGGGATGAAGGAGGAACACCAGGAAGCTGCTGTCGCGGAGGAGCCTCTCGGAGAGGCTGCCACAGACACGCCAGGCCCGCGTGGTGAGCTTGGACGTCGCGTGCGTGTGGTGAGGTGGGGAGCACGTACCCTTCGAAAGGTTGGTCGCCGCAGTACTTGATGAGCAGCGCCACGAGCAGAACGAAGTAGTCGCGGCAGAGTCTGACGAATGCGTCGCTCTCTTCAAATGACGACGACAACAGAGACGCGGCGACCTACCCAAGGCAGTGAGTTGCGGTGAACGAACACGGAGACGGGTGGTGGCGACGAGGTACCAGGAAGGAGAGGGTGCCAAACAGGATGAGGACCCATTGGGACTCGCCCTTGGGCTCGGCCGGCGGCGGGTGGCCCACTGAGGGAGCGTCAGCGTAGTGGACCCAGAGGAAGCCCAGCACGTACAGGGCCGAGTTGGCCACGAACGCTGGGTAGTGTCGCGCCACCAGCGAGCCGACGAATGCTGCTCCTCGATGACACACACACAAAATGAGTGCGTGTGCGTGTCATGCGCGTCGTGCGGGTCGTGCGTTTCATCAGGTAGGTACCCACGAGACTGGAGTGCGCGAGCTTGAGTCCTGCATGGTCTGTCGACTCGACAGCCAGGCGGCCGCCGTAGATGAGCATCGCGGCCAGCAGCAAGGTGATGGACTTGGCGCGGGGCGACCTGATCGCCGGGCGCAGAGCCACGCACACGAGGAGCGGGCCGTAGACGAGCAGCACGCATTGGGCCAGGTGCCAGGACGAGGCCACGAGAGGCAGAGAGAAGAGTAGGGCGGCTGGCGTGAGTCCAGCCAGAAGCCTGCAGGACCAGGAGAATGATACATGCTCCTGTGCCGACATTTGATGGTTACCCCTGTGCGTGCGTGTGTCGTGTGTGCCGTGTGTGTGGTGTGCGTGCGTGCGTGTGCGTGCGTGCGTGTGTGTGTGTGTGTGTGTGACGTACCTGAGCTTGGGTGATGGCATAGAAGAGAGGACAGTGTACAACCCACATGGTGAGCGAATAGGGGAAGAAGAGGAGGAGATGCGAACAGACATGAATGTGGAAATAATTGAAGTGCGCGCCCACGTCTGATTCAGTGTCCACAACACATCACCGTCACCATTACCACCACACATCACCATGTGAGTTAACTTCGATAGAACGACATCAAGACGAAGCGGGTGGCGGGAACAGTGTTAACCTTCAGCGCCAGAGGAGGAGGAGAGCGAAGAGACCACCAGGTGCACGAGGCTGACGGTGAGCATGTACGCCGGCAGAAAGAGGGTCACCCTCCTGCGCAGGGGCTTGAACACCAGCTTCCACAGCAGGTCCACCCAACTACGCACACGCACGCACGCACGCACACACACACACACGCAGAGGCGCAATCAGAATCATTACCCCATGAACCAGCCCATCAACAACCACCGCGATAGCAGTAGGTGGGAGTTACCTGCGCTGTTTGGGGTTGCGCGCGTCGAGTCGCAGGGCGGTGGTGGGCGCGAGGGAGGAGAAGGCGTGGGCGGCCTTCCACCCGCTCCACACGAAGAACAGCCCGCACCCGATCTGCCACAGGAGATCCGCCAGCTCTTCCTGCGTTCATGCCATTGGCCAGTTTTATAGAGATAACGCACCATCACACACCAACGGGGGCATTGTGAACACATTATTGTAATATTTGGTTATTTTATAATTGTAAAAAATAAAATAATAAAAAATGACGTACGGCTTCTTCCCGAACGAAGAGGGCGTGGCCACCGGAGGAGGAGGCGGGCGAAGAGAGGAGGATGGGCAGAGCGCCGCTGCTGGGCTGGAAGTGCAGGAGCGCCCGGTGCCACAGCAGCAGCTGCGAGAGCACTATGCCCGCCGTGTGCACATAGCTCGGCGCTTTGTCATCGGCGGTGGCATGAAGCAGTTGTGAGGGCGCTGCCGCCGCAAGCTGGGCCTTGGTGAGGCTGTGAGTTTTCTCATTGTTGTTGGCCGTCGTTGCTGGTGAAGAAGAGTTGTGGGTCGTGGTGGCCTTCTGGCCGTCGCTCTCGGCCTTGCGGTCCCATACATCCACCATCGCGACACTGAACGCCGGCCACTCCTCTCTTCTGCTGTTCTTTCGCTTGTACGCTCCATGGTGCCTGGACCTGTAACGCTTCACCTAGAGGCAGGAGCGTTAGCTAAGGGGCTGGCGCCAGTGGCGGAGCGGGAAATCAACTCTCGCGAGAGTTGCGATTGGCGGACCTAATTTATGCGGATATTTTTCTTCGAGCCCATTGGCGTAGTTCATGCCGCGGGTGAAACTCGTGCCTGGTCACCTGTCCTCCCTTCGCCTCGTGCGCCGGTGGTGCCGGTCTGTGCAGCCTCTGCTGTTGTCGTTGTCTCTTTCTCTCGCTGGCGTTCGCTGTCTCTTGCTCGGCCTTGCCTCTTCTTCGTCTTTGTCGCCGCCACAGTCGTTCAGGTCGCGCCTCCTGTCCCTGGGGGTTCGGTGGTCGTCGATGATCTCCCTCGGTCGCCGGTGATGGGGCGGGGAGGCCGTCCTGTCACTGCCCATGTCTTCTTCTTGGTGGGTCGCGCGCGCTGGGCTTTCGCTGTCGCGATGTCGAGGTCCGCGGGCCGCGGCTGTTGCAGTTGCGGGTTGCGCGCCTTCGATGATGGCCACCAGCTCCTCCATGCGATTGTTGATGAAGTCCCGAGCCACCTTGCAGGACAACGGCACACACACCACGACCAATCAGGTTGTCTCCTTCGAGGCCACATAGGCTGCGTGTAGCCATCACTACGTGGTCCATTGTTGGCGCGCGTACCTGGATGGGTGAGCGCTTGGTGATGTGCACGTTCCTGGCCCGGTACTTCTTCGTGCGGCGTCGATAGTCCCTCTCCTCGGCCAACAGCTGCGCGCGAGCCTTGGCGCCCGATGGCGACGCATCCTGCTGGCCGTCCGCCGCCGCGGCCGGCTGGCTCACCGCAAACAAGTCGATGTCGAGTCCCTGCGTCCACCGCCGCCGTGAGCGCTCACGCATAACAGCGGCGCGCGTGTTGGCGCTGCAGTGGGCGCTGGCCTACCTTGCAATCAGGCCGCTGTTGTCGTATCAGCTTGGCCGCCTGGGTGGCTTCGTCGTATCGCCTCAGCCTTTGATGTAGTGTAGTGTGGCAGGTGAGGCTACACTCGCCGTGCGGCGAAGGGGAGGGTGGGCACATACCTTAACTCATTGCCCCTGGTGGCTGCTCCGGCGCCAGCGGTAGGCCCAAGATCGGCCTGTGCCGGTACTGTTGCTGTGGTGGTGGTGGTGGTCGTAGTGGTGTACGTGACGTCGTCATCGCTTAGCCGCACGACTCCCGGTGCGCCTTCGTAGAACAGCGTCGACGGCCCGTCCGGCCCTTCCGGCTGAAGAAGAAGTGGTCAAGACGCACCGCAACGGAGGTGGCGCCCTCGCCCAAGGGGGGGGGAAGGGTCAGTGCGTACGGGGGGAAGGCCGGTCACGCGAAGGCAGCACTTGCGGGCATGACGGGGTAGAGAGCTGGGCGGCACTCGGTGGCTGGGGTTGTAGGGGCACGCCACCAATTCAGGCTCTTTGCTGCTCTCCTTTACCTGCAAAAGAGAAGAAGAAGGGAGGGGGGGATGAGCAGTAATCGTCAGCGTCGTGGTCAGGCGTGGATATCCACCGAAGGGAACAGATCCTGCCGCGTCCAGCCCAAGTCCGCCAGCAGAAGGCGAAACCGCGCCTCATGTTGCCGCCAGCCATCCATCATGTTCGTTGCAATAGTAAATAGAATATAAAAGAAAAAATAAATAAAGGGACAAAAAGCAATTTTTGTTTCGTTTTTTTCTTTTTGTCGTGAGCGCGGGAGAAGGAGATGATTACAGGCATGTATTAATTTACAGCTGCGCAAGTGCGCCGCAGTACAGGCATAGGAAGAGATGGGAAGGCACTCAATTGTCCCTTCCCTTCGCTTCGCTTTGGATGGAGGGGGGGGCTTAGACGTTCTTGCGGATCATGGTCTCGACGAAGGCGTTGTAGTCGACCTGCTGTCCGCCACCGGCATCGCGGATGAGGTCCTCCACCTCGCCCTGCGTGAGTCGCTCGCCCTGCGAGGTGAGCAGCCGGCGCAGATCGTTGGCGTCGACGTAGCCCTGGCCCGACCAATCGAGGATGCTGAAGGCGTGGCGCAAGATGTTGCCGGCCTGCTGGGCCGCCCACTTCTGCTGCCTGTTGTCCAGGAACGCAGAGAAGGAGAGGCCGCCGCCGCTGCACAGATTCGAAGCCTGCTGCTCGCTCATGTCCTCGCCCAGCGATCGAAACAGCAAGCTGACATCCTTGGGCGCGAGCTGCCCCTTCTTCTCCTTATCGAAGTAGTCGAACACCTCCTTCAGCTCCTGCTGCTGCTCCTGCGACAACGATTCAGACATGATGATCTCTTCTATCTATCAATCTTCCTCTCGATCTCTCTTCTAATCTCTCGTTTGGCTTCGTTGCTTCGTCGCTAAATTGATGACCCCCTATCGTGTCCGGATTTATCCCACCATGTATTGTGTATTTCAATTTTGCATTTCTTTTATTTCTTTTTGGTGGTCAGCAGAGACGAAGTTCTTCTTGGGCGTGCGCCAGTCCGGGCCGTACTGCTGGGTGAGCACGAAGTCAGCGTCGTGTGGGCAGTGGAACGTGCGGCCCTCGAACTCGCACTCCCGGACGGGTAGCAGCTTGTCCAGCGGGAAGCGGAAGTGGAGTTCGGGGTAGTGGCGATCGGTCAGAACCACAATTTCGCTTCCGTCCTCTTCTTCGTTGTTGTTCACCACTTCCGCAGCCGTCGCAGGGGTACGTGGCAGCGGCGACTCGATAGGTTCGTAGTCGGCCAGGTCGATGTAGATGGGAGTGATGCGGTTGTAGAAGATGCGGAACGCGCCGCGCTTGATGACGAAGGCGGTGAGGCCGGGAAGCAGCGCCACGTCGGAGCGGTGGATCATGTGGTTGCCGCAGCGCCGCGCTATCTGTGGCCCCAGCGCGTATATCTTCTCCGTCTCGCTGACCAGCACACCGACGTCCAGGTCGTCGGTGCCGTCCCAGGGTATGAACCCCTTGTGCCGGACCGCGCCCAGGAGCGAGCCATAGTCGAGGAAGTAGGTCACGCCGTGCTCTACAAACACGTCGTGCGTGCACTGCATCACCTCCAGCAGCGTGCTCCGGCGGTCGATCGAGGACAAATATAGACAATAGAAGCCGGCTACGAGGCCCATCATGATCAGCGCAGCGCAGAGGCCTTGCCGAAGGAGCTTGTTGGTCAGGACTGCGCGGAGGGAGTTAAGCGGTAAGTCTGCCTTACGTCGACCACCACCAGCAGCAGCGGTCGAGCAGCCGATCGACTCCACATCACCAGCAACAGCGTAGTGGAGGCCTTGTGCGCTTTTCCTGAAGCTGGTCATGCCCAGCAGTTGCGTGTTGTTGTTGGCGGAGAGAATTGATGGGAACGGCCTCAGAAGCGAAAGTCGACAACTCACCGTCAGATCTGGCCCAATCACAACTGGGCCGCGGGCCTCTGACCCCTTGGAAAGGTCACTTGCTCTTTTTTGAGCTGTTTCTTTTCCTCCGCTTTTCTCTCTTTTCTTTTTGTTCTTGCGGAGGAGGCTGACTCCCACATGAAGATGAGAGCCGCCGGTGGCCTGGCGCTCGTGCTGCTGGCCCTCGTGGCCGCGTGGGCGCCGAGCGCAAGTGCCTTTTCGCGGGAGGAGTATGGTTCGTCGTCGGACTTCTACCAGCTGGTGGAGGACGTCGTGGCCGGACGAGATTACTACGCCTTCCTCGAAATCACGCCCGAGCAAGCCAGCGAGCCCGCCGAGCTCAAGAAGGCCTTCCGCGCTCTCACGCGTCGCTGGTACGCCCCACCCCTCTGCCCACCCACCACCCACTACACCATTGCCCGCGGGTCCAAGTCGTGCGCCTTGTTGGCTCACCGGGTGCGGTGGGGCGTGTGTCGTGCGGTGCAGGCACCCGGACAAGAACCCGAGCGCAGAAGCGGCGGAGCGATTCCGGCAGGTGGTGTTCGCCTACGACATCCTCTCCAACCCGGCCAAGAAGGAGCACTACGACACCCTCCGCACCAAGGGTACGCACTACGCTTGGTATGCGTGACCTCATCTCTCTCTCTCTCTCACACACACACACTCTTCTCAAGGCATCCCGTGGCACGAGAAGTACTACGGACGCTACGCTCATCGCTACGGCGCGCCCGAGCACGACATCCGATGGGTCATCTTCTGGCTCATCACCAGTACGCGCCATGCCTGCATATACGATGTGTGGCTCTCTCTCAGCTGACTCATGGCCTAACCCTACCACGATGTGTGCCGGCGCACACGTACACACAGCCGTGACTGCGCTGCACTACGCGTATCGGCGGCACAGGTACCAGCTGATCCTGTCCAAGGTGAAGCAGACCCCGACCTACCGACATCGCCAGGCCCAGCTGCGCGCCGCCAGCGCAGCGGCGTCAGCCTCGTCATCTGCGAAGAAGCGGAAGAAGGCCGCCAAGCAAGAGGCCCAGCCAGTTGCTGTCGAGCCCGAGGAGGAGCCCGAGGTGAAGCTGATGGGCATCAGGCCGCCCGGGTGGCGCGACCTGGTCGTGGTGCGACTGGTCATGCTGCCCTACACGCTCGGGTGGCTCCTGTTCTGCCTCGCGCGGTGGGCCGTCTGGTACAAGCTCCTGGGCCACGCCCCGCCGCCGGTCGACATGCGCGAGGTGATGCGCGAGCGGCTCGGGCTCACTCCGGCCGAGTTCGAAGAGTGGGAGCGCGAGATGAAAGAGAAGCAGGAGAAGGCCGCCAAGTACTCTCGACGCTACTGATGGTGATGACCATGCTGACGTCATGAACATGAAGAAGTGTGTTTTGCTCGCTAGTTTCTTTCGTATGATGTTTAAATAAGCGTAGCGACGAGGGTACAAGTAGAAGAGGGGGCACTACCAAGGGCAGGCTTCAGAGGTGGTAGCTCTGCCTCGACCACCACCGCCGCCCTCGCCCTGTCCTCGACCGCCTCCACGTCCGCCTCTCGACTGTCCACCGCCGCCTCGGCCACGGCTTCCACCCCTCGCGCCGCCGCCTCCGCCGCGCTCGGTTCGTGCGTCGGTTCGTGGTCTGCGCTCTCTGCCGCCGCCACCGCCACCACTGCTACCGCCGCCTCTGGCCTGTCCGCCTCCGCCGCTGGAAGGCGGGCCTCCTCTGCTGGAAGCGCCGCCTCTCGGTTGTCCTCTGCCTCCGCCCCTCCAGCTGCCCTGGCCCTGGCCCCGACCCTGACCGCCGCCGCCTCGCCCTCCTCGCTGCTGCTGCTGCTGCTGTTGTCTGCCGCCTCGGCCGCCACCGCCACCGCCACCATCGTCTCCGCCCGAGTACTGCTGAGACCCTCCTTGCCGGTTGAAGGGCCGGCTCTTGACGCGCTCCTCGAGGGGCACGGTCGACTCGGGCGGGTACCACACGATGTTGTGGCTCTCTTCTTCCTCCGGCTGCGGGAACTCCTCCTCGTCGTCGTACTCTTCTTCGCCCTCCTCCTCCTGGTCGTCGTCGTACTGGTCCTCCTCGTCTTCGTCGCCGGGCGTCTGGTCCTCAGCGCCGCCGCCGGTGCCGGATCGGTACTCGGTCGGGAACTCGAAAGAAGTGGAGGAGGCCGTGGGGTCGAAGATCGACGAAGACCCCGACGACGGTGCAACGGAGAAGGAGAAGATGTCGCCCGGGGCGGACGCGGAGGAGGAAGTCGACGGTGGACCGAAGAGGGAGCCCGGATTGAAGGAGGAGGAGGAGGAGGAGGATGAGGACGGTGAGGGCCGCGAGGGCGAGGGCGACGCCGACCTATTTACAAAGGCGCTGCCGCTCGACGCCATCAGCTGGCCGCGCTGCGAGTCGAGCGACTGGTCCCGGGCGGCGCTGGGCTTGGTCAGCGGGGTCCGCTTGCCGGGCACGTCGTTGAAAATGGACACCGACGAGGCCTCGCGGAACAGCGGCGGCTTGAACCCGCCGCGGGCCGAGGCCGACGACGATGTCGATGACGACGACGACGAAGAGGTCGAAGATAACGGCGGGCCGAAGATCGATCCCAAGCCCGCGTCGGCCGGCTTGGCTGAGTCACTGGTGGGCGTCGTCGACGAGGGTCCAAACAGCGAGCCGGGGTTGAAGGACACCGACGGCGCCGACGACGATGATGCCGATGCCGACGACGCAGGGGAGAGGAACGAGTAGGCGTCGGACTCGGACGCGCTGGTCGATCGCCTCCGCCTCGAGGGCGATGCCGCTGCGGCCACCGCTGCCGAAGTGTTCGTGATCGCGCCGGGGCCGAAGAGGCTGGCGAGGGCGTCCGACGATGTGGTCGTCGCGGAGCTGTCTCTGGCGGCCGCTGCGGGAGTCGGCGAGAAGAACGGATCGTTGGCCGAAGCCGACGAGGAGGCCGACGAGGCCGAGGACAGGAACGAGTCGAACGGCGACGCCGCGTCCCCGCTGAAGAACGAAGCGACCGACGACCCGCCGGCCGAGGCCGCGGTCGATCGCGACGACGAGGAAGACGAAGTGTCGGAGGAGAAGAGGATGGGCAGCGGCATGTCCGAGGGCAGATCCGCAGAGGAGACGAGCGTCGACGAACCCGGGGATGACGAGTCGCTGCCGGCCCGGCCCCGCTTCTCGCGCCGCTTCGTGGGCTTGGGCTCCTTCTTGTCGCTGGACGAGGCCGGGGAGTCCCACTCCCAGTTCGTCGAAGCGAAGAGCGAGGTCGATGATGAGTCGAACGTGACGTTGGTGATGCCGCTCCCCGCCAGGTCGCCGGACTTCTGTTGCTCCTCCGGTTTGCCCTTGGCCGCTGCCGAGTCCGATGGCGGCGCAAAGCTGTCGAACTTAATCACCGACGCCTCCATGTTGATCTGCGCTCAACAAGCAACATAGCGCATGAGCCATGCGCTGGAGTGTGTTATGTGCTGTGTGTGTTATTTGACGTACCTGCACCCTCTTCTTGGGGGTGGCTGCTTGGAGCAGCTTGCCGACCCGCTTGTTGGCCTTCTTGTCGGCCAGCTCCTCCTGCTCCAGTTCGCGCATGAGCTTCCGCTTCCGCTCGTCTTCCTGCTGGACCACCTGGAGCAGCTGCTGCTCGTCGAACGACACCGTACGTCGCTTCCGGCCGTTGAGCATGTCCTTCCTCTCCTGTTGTGTGTGTGTGTGTGGACGCCGTCAGCAGAGAAGCGCACGAGTAGCTGTGAATGGGAGAGTAACCTGTGAGCTGGAGGCGAGAGGGGCTCGTCCTCGTGGGCTGAGCGGCCGATCCGCCGAGGCGCCGCCGCGAGGCGACAGTTGCTCGAGGAGCAGAGACGGCGACACGGGCGAAGACATGGTCATCGCCACAACCGGCGGCGGCGGACCCATGGGAAGTGGCGGCACCATGGGCGTGGACGCCATCATCAGCACGTTCGCGGACGTTTGCTGAGCGTCCATGGGCATGGTGCTCTCTTCGTATCGTACGAGCGTGGCGGCTGCAGGCGGAGGCAGGGATGGCGGATAGACGGCCAACACGCGCTCTAAGATGTTCTTCTTCCTGCGCGGTGCCTCGCCGTCCTCCCTCACGGCCGTCGGAGGGCTCGACTTCTGTTGCGCGCCTCGGGACTTCTTGGCCTCCGGCTCGGACTTCTGTGATGCCGGCTTCTTGCTGCTGCTGCTGCTGCTGTAGGGACGTGGCCGTCAGTAAGCAGGCGGCGGCTGGCCCTGTGCGTTTCGAGGCATGGGTACCTTGGGGTTTGCGAGCGCGTGGCGGAGGAAATGGATTCGGGCTTGCGCTTCCTTTGCGCCGAAGACGGAACTGCCTTGTCCTTGGGCATCGGCGTGTGCTGTTGGTTTGGTTTTGAGGGGTGAAGGTGACGGTGAGTTGAGGCAGAGAGCAGCAAAAACAAATGTCGAGGGCGGAGGTAATGTAAGTACCACGCGCTTACGCGGCTGACTGTCCTCCGTTTCACTCTCTGCCCCTTCGGCTCCCTCAACCCTGCGACGCTTGGCAGAGCCCGGGTCTGTGGTTGGCGTTCTGGTCATTGGTGACTGGTCCGACGCTCGCTTCAGCAGGATCCTCGATGGCTGCGCACGAGAAATAAACGGGATTGAGCAATCAATTAATGATAGAAAAATGGTCATCAACGCTCATGGTAGCTGGTACCGTTCGAGTTTCTCCGTTGTTACCGACAGGACCGATCACCAGCTTCTTGCTCCTCGCCATCACGGCGATGAGCTCGGCGAGGGATGCATTCTCGGTAGAGACCTCCACACGAGCTTCCGGAGCCGGCGGCGGAGGCGCAGGTGGAGCACCGGCCTGGTGCTGATCGAGTGCAGCAGCAGGTGGGTTGTTGTCGTCGGCCACAACACCGGGCGATGGCACCTCGCTTGCCGGTAACGGCTGTGGGATTGCTTGAAGGGAAGGCTCCTCGCTGAAAGTGCGGGCCGTAGCTCGCACGGGATTGAACGAAGGCGACGGCACTCGGCCTGGGGCCTGCGAATGCACGTTGCGGCCGCCGCCCTGCATGAGGACCGGGATGTTGGGCGAAGTGGTGGTGACGAACTCCATTGAGTCCCGGGCTTCCGCGCGGCGCATGGCCACCAGCGGCCAGCGCTGGATCTGCGCGAGAGCAGAGGGCGCGGGCGAAGAGGGAGAGATGGCGGGGAGGAAGGTGGCGCTGGGCGAAGGCGGCGTCTTGATGATGTGCATCATCGAGAGCCGGCGAGGATGGTACGGCGCAGGCGGGACGAACGGGGGTGTGAACAAGCCCGTGTCCTCTTGCTGCTGCAGCTGTGCCTTGTGCATGTTCCTCCGTCGAATCAACTCCGCCCGGGGCGCATCTTCGAGTGTGGCAGAGACGAGAACGGTGGTGAGATCACCTCACAGGATTATAGATGGGCAGAGGGCACGGTACCTGTGTCCAGAGTGGAAGAGGGCACGTTCACCAGCCCCTCAAAAGCGTAGCCACCATTTCCCCGCAACCCGCTGTAGGGCCAGGGAGAATTAACAAGAGATTAAGCGAGATTGTTAAAGGGGGGAGGTGAATACCCATTCGCGATGTGATTGAGGCAGAAGAGGATGCCGATGCATAAGGCGGCAGAAACTAGGCCCAATAAGGGCATCAGCAGGAAGTCGAGTACGGCCTCCATGCTCCCGCTGCTCTGCCAGGAGCCGCACCCTCGCAATGCACGAAAATCACGCCAAAATGGACCCGGGCAGCAATCGATGTGGTGTTCAACTGTTGCGTTGCGTGGGCGGGAAGCACACCTGGCGCACCTTTGTCCCAAAACCCGTCTGCGAGCGTGCGCCCAGAGAAGAAAGCAAGGGAAGAAATTGAAAGGAAAAATAAGCAGGGAAATAAGGAGGAAAGCGCGTTTTGCCGGCGCAACGATAATCTGCCATCATTGATTTGGATTAATCTTGGCCTCAGACAATGCCGAAGCATCCCGCGTTCACTTCGGCTAGGGGTAGGACTAAGGCGGAGCCGATCTCGTATGAGGAGGAAGGGGATGATGACTTCGATGGGGAGGAACAGCAGCAGCCGAAGAAGGGACGCGGCAAGCGCCGGAATCGCGATGAAGGCGATGACGACGCCGCGAGCGAATTCCAACCCAGGAGCATCGAAGACATCCAGTTCGGGGCCTGGTACGAGAAGGCGCCCACTCTGCCACCACTCACGGAGCGGGAGGTGAAGTTGGAGAACCGCAAGCAGGAGCGCCTGAGGAAGAAGAAGGCAAGGAAGGGAAAGCTGACTGAGGATGAGCTCAAGACGGCCACAAGCATGCAAATCGCGCAGCTGGCCACCAAATTGGCCCAGGCCAAGGCCGCCTACGAGGAGCGTGCCGCCGAGCACTTCAAAGCGAGTACGCAGCCCTCCGCCCATTTCTTTCTCAATTCTTTCGCGATTGCGATTTAATCTTGCGTTCCCTTTCGCCATTTAATATATTTAATTTAAAAGAAATATATTGTAATTGA